AACGAAATCCTTAAGAAACGAAGACAACTACTAGATGAAGGCGTTCCTCGCGAAAAGCTGAAAATAAGGAATCTAGAATTGTTCAATGATGGTGTGAAAGTAACTATTGACACTGAAGTTCAGGAACCCCAGCATTGACTAGGATTCCTCAACATTCTGCAACTAAATACTAGAAGCCTAATCAACATAGAGAGAAGAACTAAGCTAGCAAATGCAATTGCAGTTGGAAATTTTAATGTCATATGCTTAAGCGAAACTTGGCTTAACGAGAATATTCAATCATCAGAGCTTTTTCTAAGTGAATATAACATCTATAGATCTGATAGAGCTATTGTGAGTGGTAAAAACTGTCACGGAGGCAGCCTAATAGCTGTCAAGAATAGTCTAATTACCGAGGACTTATCCACCAAACATGACATTCCTGATTCATGTGTGCTATGTAGTATAAAACTTCATCAAACTGAAATGATAATTGGCTCATTCTACAATCCGCCAAAAAACAGTAATTACAGATACAAAGTGCATGAATTTGAACAACTGATCAAAGCCATTCCTAAAAACAAACCGTTTCTCTTATGTGGGGATTTAAATTTCCCAGAAACAAACTGGAACACCCTCACCAGTACTGACGAGGAAGAAAACCAAATACTGCAAATTTTTGAAAATGGACTCTTTAGGCAGGCGATAGATTTCCCAACATGTGTGAAGAACATACTAGACGTAGCCTTCTATCGGAATTGCTATACAAGTGCAGAACAAGATTTTAACGTTTCCAAGATTTATGACTGCTCAGATCACAATGCCATAATGTTGTCTATTGAATGCACGGTATCAGAGCCGAAACCATACTTGGAAAATTTTAGAAGTTTTGGAAATGCCGATTTTGAAGGAATAAACAATTTTATAAACGAGAACCCATTTGAACCAGTATGCCACACAAACATTAACAAAATGCATGAGGAGTACACCCAATATTTGGATGAAATCATTAAGAGTTTTGTGCCTCTCAGAACAAGACATAGGCAATCACTTCCACCTTGGATAACAAGTAGCACTTCAAATTTGATCAAAAAGTTACAAACAAAACGGCAATCATGTATACTCAAACCGACCAACTACAGAAGACAACAAGTTAAACTGTTTGAAAATTTAGTAACTGAATCATCGGAAGTGGACAGGAAAAACTACCAAGAGGAATTGTTTAGAACACGGAACACTAATGTAATTTTTAAACACCTAAAGAACTTGAATAAACATACAAGTCTTCCTAAGTTACTCATAAAAGATGAAGTTGAAAGCACAAATCCAAACGAACAAGTCAACATGCTAAACGACTTCTTTCATTCAGTTTTTAATCCTAAAGAAAGTTTTAGTATTAGAGATATTCAATTTGGAAATCCCTTGTTAACGAATTTTGATATATCGAAAAAGACAGTAAGTGAGATTTTATCAACTCTGGACGTAACAAAGTCACGCGGCCCAAATGGGTTGCCACCTAGCTTTTTTCAGAAAACGAACCGCAATATATGCAAACCGATGAACAAAATTTTGAGAAACGTAAAACGCCTACGAAAAATACCTGATTCATGGAAAACAGCTGCAGTTACTCCTGTTCACAAAAAAGGTGACCGAAAATTGGTGAACAACTATCGACCAGTATCGCTATTAAATATTGACAGCAAAGTCCTTGAAAAATGTATATACAAAGACCTGTACCCTTACTTTGCCTGGTATTTGACGAAACATCAACACGGTTTTACTAAAGGTAGATCAGTTTTGACAAACATGCTCTCCTTCCTGAAAGAAATATATGAAGCGCTTGACAATGACTCAAACGCAGAAATTGTAGCAGTCTACACTGACTTTGCAAAAGCCTTTGATAAAGTTCCGCATTTTGATCTACTCAAGAAAGTTGCACTTATAGGAATAGGAGGCTGCATGTTAGAGGTACTCTATGACTATTTGAAAAACAGGAAACAGTTTGTACGAGTAGACAATATCAGCTCAAAAGTTTTAGAAGTCACTAGTGGTGTTCCCCAAGGATCACTTTTAGGACCACTGCTCTTTTGCATTTTTATTAACGACCTACCTGAAGTACTCAAATTCTCTGAACCATATATTTTTGCGGATGATCTTAAACTACTTTCCATCAAAAAAACATCAATTGAAATTCAAGAAGATCTGGACAAAATTCAGCAGTGGGTAACTGAAAACAAAATGGAATTAGCACTAGATAAATGTGCAAAAGTAAGTTTTAGGGGCGGAGACGCCAACTCTATGCTTTTTGGTGTAGTGCTTGGAACATCGATGGTTGTGAAAGATCTGGGAATTTTTGTGTCGGGCGATTTAAGTTGGAAGGTACACATTGAAACAAGATTAAAGAAGGCAAACCAAGTACTGTACCTCCTGAGAAGAAACCTATCAGCAAAGATAAATACGTTTGTAAAGTTAGGCCTGTATAAGTCACTAATACTCCCAGTGTTATTATACGGACTCTCATGTACACATATATCGAGGGGGGATCAATTGCAGTTGGAGCGATTTCAAAAGAAAGCAATCCGGTGGATCACTGGAAATAAAACGGGAGTGTACATCAACGAACTACGCTTGCTAAACATTTTACCCCTGCCCATGTTCATCCAGCTAAATAACATCTTACTTCTTGCCAGTCTTGATTCTAATGAACGAAATGAAATAGTGTTAAACAGGCGAACCACACGGGCTAGAAATATAGAAATTTTTGAGATGCGAAAAGTGAGAACGGAAAAAGCGAGAAACGAATTTGTTTTCAGAACCAGTAGGATTGTAAATCGATTAGAACCATATATTCATTTTGATAAACGAATCGGCCTCAAGACGAGAATTTTAAACACGATGTGGAAATTTGTAAACGAGAGATTTTCAGAAATGACAACGTGCACGTGGCAATTATTCTGTGATTGTATCACGTGCAGAAACAAGTGGACATTGTTTTAGAGAAGACGCCGGGACCAAGACTCCCAACAGCAGTGCTGTGAATCCCCAACAACAACAACAACAACAACAACAACCACTTTTTTCTCCTTCAATGGACCGTCTTCTAGTAATCGTCGGAGATTCTTTCTTTGGTTCGCAAGTTGTTATTAAGTGATAGGCCAGGAATTAGTGTAACAAGGCGCTCGTATTTCTTTTTCTCACATGTGTTAAGGGTGTTGATGCTTTGGAACAGGGAGCTAGCTGCTACAATCTGAAACATTTCGGTAACTCAAAAAAAAAATTGGCCATATTTTACGTATCGATAAAAAAACACTATAAAAATTCCCTATACAATGATGAAAATCATTAGAAGTGTTTATACTGGTCCTTTAATGGGAAAACAGTTGGACTTTTAAGCTCTTCGTTTTATGGTTTATCACGAATTTACAAGTAAAATTGAAGAAATTTTTGCTAAAAACTAAATTTCAAACGTTTTCTTAACTATGTGCAAAAACATAGTTGCGAAAACGTTTTTCCAATAAATTGCGCATGAGAGACAAAGTAATCATGATTAAAGTGCACATGAGAGGCGTGCACTTGAGAGGCATCCAACTAGACCTATTGGATAAAAAATTGGTGCGTATTCATAGGTCCCAAAATAAAAAATCAGTCCCCTAGGTCCCAAAATAAAATACCAGCTGCATAATTCCCAAATCTTTTCAATTCGTCTGAAGACTAAATTAGCCGAGTCTCGGTTGAAGGTCGCAGGTGGGCGCGTTACCTGCGTTAAGGCGATAACCAGCTCTAAATTTTGAATAGAGTCCCAATCTTTGGTGGCAAGCTCTCAAAACGTTGGCGCGACTGCGGCGGTCACTATTCTGCAGCTTGAGTTGATGCTGCTTGAACAGTCAATAATTAAACCATAAACTCGGCTCAAATTTCAACCAATCAGAATTCAAGCAGATACATTTTGGGACTTATGCGACCGATTTTTCATTTTGGGAGCTATGAATATTGGGACCTCTGGGAATTCACAAAAAAATTGGCAACACATGGAAACGTCCTAATTTACTTGAAATATGATGAATTACTCCCCTTGAATTATGATGAATTCATCACAATTGATAAACATAAGTACGAAGAAGCTAGTTAAGAAGTTAATAGATATCATAATAAGGAAGCATAAAATACCCGTGTTATTACCCGAAATTCTCCTAACTAGCTTTAGTGATTGTAGCCCTGAATAGAATTATATGAGGCGGTGTGGGGCATGTCATAGTTTTGATAATTGCGTGGACGTTGATATGGATGGATCCGATTAACGGAACTATTATGGCTATCGTTATTAAAATTTTGTAGATTATTAGGGCGGGGTAGGTTGTTAGAGTTTTGGCAATTGAAAGATTTAAGGCAATTTCGCAAAAACGGGACACCATGCTCATCGTTTAGGTGTATTTTGTCCCAATAAAGAAAGCTCCAGTTGTTGTTGCCTTGATTATAGTATTAGCTTCGTCGTCGTCGTAGGGCGTTTTCGAGCATTACTGCCCATTGCCCGCCATATGTATATCTCTCACAATTGCTTTCCACTGCGGCCTGTTCAGTGCAGTATCTTTGGCCAAATCGAACCAGCTTGCCTCCCAGTTCTTGTGGGTCATTTTTTGGGGTTTCAAGAATGGGCGGAGTTCCTTCTTCACCAACCGTCTCCACGAGTTCTTTACTCCACCGGGGGGTCTCTTCCAGTTGTCGGCTTTCTCAAATTCCAGGCATGCGTTGGGTATCATGTTGGGTTCCATGCGTAGGGTGTGCCCTAGCCATTTGAGGCGTCTTTGTTGTACGGTGGAACTCATGGTGTCTGTCGGAGCACCAAGGTTTCTCATGCATCTGCAGTTGAAGGAGTCGAGGCGTTGAGTATCGGATGCCTTGACTGGCCAGGATTCACATCCATACAGCTTAAGTTCGTGTGTTACAGTAGCTTGTGTTTAAGTTCGTGTTGAAGTGGACTTCTCAAAAACATAAGATGCAAATTTGTATGGTTTTCCAGGTTTTCGTATTATGTGTCGAATGGTAGACTCAACTTGACGCTTAAAAACAAAAAAGCCCGAACCACGGCTCACAGAAGAACAAAAACAGCAGCAACAACCGATCACAAAAAAACAACAACAACATCAGGATTCGTCTCAACCTGTTTTTGGATGGGAATTAATCAACTGCTGTGCGTACAGTGTTGTCCCAAAAGTCCTGCCCATTCACGAGTGAACAGAAAGAATTCGGATGGGTGGAACGGGAGTGGTCTGGCTGCCTGGCGAAATCAAACGAGGTTGGGCAACGAAATGTTTGCTAGTACTGTAGTCTGTCTAGAACTGTAGTCTGTCTCAGTTTGACCCCTGAGAAGGAAAATGTCAGGGCAAAAGTGAAAAGGTTGAAGGTGACTTCGAAAAAAATCGAAAATAACACTGAAAATTTTATTGAAGGAGAATCGACATTATCGCACAAGAGATGGAATATTTAGAAAAAGGAGAAATAGACGAAAAACAAGAGAAGGACGAATTAAAAGAGAAGAAAGTAATCGAGAAAGAGAACATTAAAGGGAGTTTTGCACGCACATTAGCATTTCGCGACTCCTCGTTCCGATTGCGAAGCGTTATATCTGCGACATAAAGACGACCTCCTTTACTGTTTTGTGTGCGAGAAGAACCGAGAGGATCAAAAAGTGTCGTTGATGCACTGGTGAAAAAAGCAAAAGGCTGCTGGTCTGGCGATGTTATATAACTCCAACGAGAACAACGATACATGCTCCAAACGGAATAATCGAAATGAAACTGCAGGTGGCGTCAAGAAAAACAAAAAGAGCAATAGTCAAAGTGGTCCTCAGAGCAATAACAAGGGTCAGAAGAGAGGAGGTGTTGGGAAATAGTTGGGAGGTGCTAGTTTTCTCGAATTTAAGCAACACTTGTTTCGTCAGCTCTGTTGTGCACACACCGTGGGTCAGGCAGGTCGGTAGTAAAAAAAATGGCTTCTCTCCTACTACAGGAAGAGGGGCGGTTGGTTATTTCTTGGGTACAAAATACCATGTGCTTAATTTTGAGTTAGTCTTTAATATGGGTGGTTATACGTTGTTTGGTGGCAAAGATATTTGAGAAATTACTACTTTGAGAAAATTGAGTTTTTTTCTAGTCAAATTAAACATTTTTTTTTGTCGTTCAGCTTCTTATTATCTTTGTATTTTGGCGCAAAATAAGCTCAATGTAATTTTTAGATGTTTAGCTGTTTTGGGCAGCACTAAATATAAAAAGGATATCCTCAAATTTTGCGTGTATAAGATGTAGGTTTTGCTTAATACAATTCTTGTGAAAGTGTTCACTAGATTATATGTTTAGTAGTGTATATAATTCATCCTTATGATTCAGTTTGGTTAGGTTATGCTTCAGTTGGCAGAGAGCATGAGTATACGTCTGGAGGGTGAAGGAGACCCGCCTCTCCAGTTTGAAACACCCCGAAGAATGAGTGAAGACCTGTCTCAACTTCACACTTCCTACTTCAGTCAACAGTCCTAGACGTCAGGACTCCCTCTGACTGTGTCGACGAAGTCCTTTTTCGAAAGTCTGTGTAAGTTCTGTCGCATGTATAAGAGTAAGGAAAAACAAGACTCGCAGGAGATGTTTACACAAGCAAAGCTTTGTTACAGCATGAACTTTCTTTTTTCCAACCTAAGTCGCATATATTGTTGCGACGCAAATATTGTTGCAACACAAAAAAAGGTTGCAACAAAATGTGTTCATTTTAAAAGTGTTCATTTTGATCAATAATCAGCTATTGAGTCCTGTCAATGCTAAGGATATTAACACAGACTATATTATTACAAATATCTTTTTAGGCTCAAGGTATCATGGATCTGTAGCGTAGAGGTAGGAAGGAGACCCGCAGGATCGGATGTTTTAATCAACTTCGTCTACTAAATGCGTCGGCTCTATAAAGTGAGGCATGTTAGTTGGTTTTTTTTTTTCAAATTGACTAGTACTGCTAATGCGTCATAATTGGCTTGCGTCTCTTAGCATTTATGTAGACCCATAATTGGCGGCGTCACTTAAGAAATTTTATAGACTCAAAGTTTTTCTCCTTCATTTTATCCCAGTACCTGTTTTCGGTCATTTTTTTGCTTGTGTATGCGAAGCGCAACTCCGCCTCTGGATGTATTAAAGCATGGCTGCTGACACCAGTTAAGTATGGATACTGACACCAGTAAGTCATGCCTGCTGATACCAGTTTAATATGTACAACTATCGCTTCTGACTGATCTTTCCGATGATAACAAATCCGTTGTTTCCTGGAGATCAATCCAATCTCTATTTCTGATATTGTTGGTTTACTTAAGCATGGCTGCTGGCACCAGTAAAGCATGGCTGCTGACACCAATTCGATATATGTTAAAACTTTTGCTTCTGTTTTTAAAATTTAAGTTTTTTTCTTAGTTTTTGACATGGGGTCGTATTTTTTTTTCAAGAGCCTGAATTATTTTCTCGCTTGTGACTTGAAAACGCATGGCGGCTGGCACCAGTAAAGCATGGCTGCTGACACCAATTCGATATATGATAAAACTTGTTCTAAAATTAACTTTTTTTCTTAGTTTTGACATGAGGTCGTAATTTTTTTTCAAGAGCTTAAATCGTTTTCTCGCTTGTGACTTGAAAACGCATGGCGGCTGTCACCAGTAAAGCATGGTTGCTGATACCAATTCGATATATGATAAAACGTTTGCTTCTGTTTTCAAAATTAACTTTTTTTCTTAGTTTTCGACGTGGGGTCTTATTTTTTTCAAGAGCTTAAATCGTTTTGACGCTTGTGACTTGAAAACCCATGGCGGCTGTCACCAGTAAAGCATGGCTGCTGATACCAATTCGATATATGATAAAACGTTTGCTTCTGTTTTCAAAAAAAAACTTTTCTTAGATTTTGACATCGGGTCGTAATTTTTTTTCAAGAGCCTAAATCGTTTTCTTACTTTTGACTTGGAAACGCATGGCGGCTGGCACCAGTTTCATCTGTGATATAACTAATGTTTCTGACTGTTCCTAGTAGAGTAGATATGAGATCAGTTCAATTTCTTTTTTTTTGCGATCTAAAAGTATTGGTGCAACGAAACCAGCAGGGTACATGATTTTTTTTTGCAGTTTAAAAGTATTGGTGCAATGAAACCAGCAGGGTACATGATACAACGTTCTCGTATGAACCTAAGCTCATCGAAGTTTTAGAAGACATCATATGTCCATCGTTTTCGTACTTGTGATGTGAAGAAGCATGGCTGCCGGGGCCAACTTGTTATGTTCTGATAAGAAATCTTCGATATGTGCTGTGTTTTTCGGGTTGGTCAGTTCAATTTATTTTTTTTGTTTCTTAGGTGCATCGATAGGTGCATCGCAGAATATACCATACAATATAAAACAGCAGAATATACCATACAATTCAGTGTCCATGCTTCTGAAAGTAGTTTTTTTTTCATTAATTTTGTTGTGGCTTCTTTGTTTGTTTTGATGGTCATGAATTGTTTACCTCAATCGTGACGTGAAAAAGCATGGCTGTTGTGAGCAATTTGATTTTGATTTAATTATTTTGTCTGACTGTTGTTTTTCGATGAAATCAGATGTCCCTTGTTTCTTGGAGATCAATCTTATGTCTTTTTCTGATTTAAGAGATGACCTAAAGCATGGCTTCTGAGACGAATTCATTGTGTGATAAAATTTCTGCTGACGAGTCTCTTTATAAGAGTAACCTTTGCCTTAGTTTTTGACATTGTGTCGCAGGTTTTTTTCACGGTCAAAATCGTTTCCTTAATTGTGATGTGAAAAATCATGATTGCTGTGACCAGTTTGATTTGTGATACAACTAATTCTTCTGTCTGTTCCCTACAGACTTATTCAATATGTGCTTTGTGTTTTTGAGAGACGAGTTAAATCTTTTTTTTTTCGTTTCTAGTGGTGCATCAAAACCACCAGAATATTTGACAAATTTTGGTTCCGAGGCTTGTCTTAAAATGTTTTTTTTTCTGTTGTGGTTGCGTAGTGTGTTTTGCTGGGCCTGGATGGTTTTCCTCCCTAATGACGTGAGAAAGCATGGCTGCTTTGATCAGTTTGCCTTTACCATAATCCTTTGTGTCAGTTCTTTTCGTTAATATCATATGTCCGATGTTTCTTGGAGATCAATCGTATCTCTTTTGCTGATAATAGCATGTTTTTGAGCATGGCTTCTGACACCAGTAAAGCATTGCTGCTGACACAAACTCGATATATGATAAAAATTCTGCTGACGAATCTTTCTAAGAGCACATTTTTTTAAAAATTTTGGTGTCATAGTTTTTTATTTCACGGGCTACATTGTTTTCCTATTTTTGTTGTGGAAAAAGCATGGCTGCTAGGACAAGTTTGATTTTTGATACAGATAATGTTTCTGATTGTTCCTGTCTGAGTTATTCCATATGGGTTTGTTTTTGAAAGTGATATGTTTAGTTTCTTTTCGTTTCCTCTGATGTAAGAAAGCATGTTTGCGTCGAAACCAGACGGAAGTATGATACAACTTTCGTTTACGAGTCTAAGCTTTTTGAAGTTTTCGATGATATCATATGTCTGTTGTTTTTTGGAAATCAATCCAAGGTCTTTCTGAATTTCGCGATGTACTAAAAGCATTGCAGCTGACACGAGTTCAATATATGATGAAATTTTTGCTTACTAGTCTGTTTTTAAGAGTTATTTTTTTGTTGTTTTTGACGATGTTTATTTCATAGGCTACATCGGGTTTTTTTTTCTTGTGATTTGAAAAAGTATGGCTGCTGGGACCAGTTTGATTTGTGATACAACTCTTTCTTACTGATCCTATTAGAATTCTTCCATATGTGATGTTTTTTTAGTGAGATAGTTCTCTTTCTTTTTTTTTCTTGCGATTTAAAAAAGTATGGGTGCGTCGAAACTAGCAGGAAATATGATTGATACAACTTGCATAACAGTCTTAGCTTTTCAAAGTTTTCGATGGTATCTTATGTTCAGTGTTTCTTGGAGACAATCCAAGTACTTTTTCTGATTTTCGCGATGACTAAAACTTGGCTGCTGAGACGTGCATGATGAAGTTTTTGCTTACGAGTCTGTTTTTAAGAGTAGTTTTTTGTTTCAACGCTTGTCGTAGTTTATTTCATGGGCTAAATCGTTTTTGTACTTGTGAAGTGAAAATGCTTGGCTGCTGGGACCAGTTTGATTTGTGATACAACTATTTTTTCTGACTGTTCCTAACGGATTTATTACATATTTGCTTTGTTTTCTGTTGAGATCAGTTCAACTTCTTTTTTTGTTTCTTGATGTTTAAGGAAGCATGAGTGCGTCGAAACTAGCAGGAAATATGATCCAATTTTTGCTTACGGGTCTAAGCAAATCAAAGTTTTCTACGTTATAGTATATCCGTTGTTTCTTGGAGACATTCCAACGTCTTTTTCGTTTTTTTTGTGATGTAATAAAAGATGGCTGCTGAAACGAGTTCAATATATGTTGAAGTTTTTGCCTACGTGTCTCTTTTTAAGATTAATTTTTTTGTTTTAATTTCTGTCATCGTTGATTTCTTGGGCTAAATCGTTTTTTGTACTTGTGATGTGGAAAAGCATGGCTGCTGGGACCAGTTTGATTTGTGAGGTAACTATTCTTTCTGACTGTTCCTATCAGAGTTTTTCCATATGGGCTTTGTTTTTGGTGAGATCTGTTCAATTTCTTTTTTCGTTTCTTGCGATGTAAGAAAGCATGGGTGCGTCAAAACCAGCAGGAAATATATAACATTTTTTGATTAAGAGTCTAAGCAAATCAAAGTTTTCTGTGATATCATATGTCAGTTGTTTCTTGGAGATAATCCAATGTTTTTCTATTTTCTTGATGTACCAAAGCATGGTTGCTGACAGGAGTTCAATATAGGATAAAGTTATTGCTGTTTTTAAGAGGGTATTTTTTTGTTTTAACGTCTGTCGTAGTTTATTTCATTGGCTAATTTGTTTTTGTCCTTGTGATCTGAAAAAGCATGGCTGCTGGGACCAGTTTGATTTGTGATACAACTATTTTTTCTGACTGTTCCTAACGGCTTTATTACATTTGCTTTGTTTCCTGTTGAGATCAGTTCAACTTTTTTTCGTTTCTTGCTGTTTAAGAAAGCATGGGTGCGCGAAACTAGCAGGAAATATGATGCAATTTTTGCTTACGATACTAAGCAAATCAACGTTTTCTACGTTATAGTATATCCGTTGTTTCTCGGAGACAATCCAACGTCTTTTTCCTTTTTTTTGTGATGTAATAAAGCATGGCGCATGGCTGCTGAAAAGAGTTCAATATATGTTGAAGTTTTTGCGTACGTGTCTATTTTTAAGATTATTTTTTTGTTTCAACTTCTGTCATCGTTGATTTCATGGGCTAAATTGTTTTTTGTACTTGTGATGTGGAAAATCATGGTGGCTGAGACCAGTTTGATTTGTGAGATAACGGTTCTTTCTGACTGTTCCTATCAGAGTTTTTCCATATGGGCTTTGTTTTTGGTGAGATCTGTTCAATTTCTTTTTTCGTTTCTTGCGATGTAAGAAAGCATGGGTG